ATATGTGTATATATGTATGTGTATATATATGTATACACACACAAGTCATATAAACATCAAGGGGTCTATTAACATTATACACACACACCCAGAGAAAGGGAGAGAGAGAGAGAAAGAGAAAGAAAAAAGGATTTTTAATGGCAAATAATGTTGTAATTTGGTGAATTCTGTATAAAGACTGTACAGGAGTTCTCTGTATTTGTACAATGTAAAATTATTTCAAAATAAACATTTTAAAAATTGAAAGTAATATAACTAGTATCTTGGAAGCAATTTTTATAGAATAGTTGGTATACTGCAAAAGCTATGTCTTATAAACCATCTCAGATGAAAAACAGCACAAGTTCCTGATGTTTGCCTTGTAATGAGAGGATGATACAGACACTAAGTACCTAAACACAAATTTCATTTTTATTTATCTAGCCAAGTAACCTACCATAGGTACAAAGGTAGAAAGTATTCTGCCAGACCTTGAATTTGTGAGGCTTTTTCTTTACAGAGAGAAGTACACAGTCACGTACTTAGAAGGGGAATTCTGATGCCCTTCCTCTGGGTTGTAAAAGAAAAGGAATTAAGGCAGTGGAGGAAGACCAGCAGTGGCAGCTCAGGAACCACACAGCAGCCTAGGAACTAGACCCCACCAGCCTCCTGGGGCCTCCCCAGACCCTGAGAGGCAGGATGAGGCAGGGCTTCTCTCTCCTGGTGGAGAGGCTCAGGCCCTCGCTGACCTTGCTTTGGTCCTACAAGGAGGGCCAGCTTGCAGCTCTGCTCTGCAGCATCCTGAAGCTGCATCTTTTCCTCTAGAGGCAACAGAGAACTGCAAGAGCTTTGACCAAAAGGATCCTGGCCAGTGCAGCTGAGAATCCTTTAGCCAAAGAAACAGAAAGAGCTAAGAGCTTTAAGGTAGTAGGCCCAGAAGAGTCTATCTAAGAGCCCCTCAACTGCGTGGCCTTTGGGAGCCACCCATTCTCTGTGATATTTATGTGCATGCCTACTATGTGCCATGACAGTCCTGAACAAAATAAACCAAAATACTGCCTTGTTCAAGTTACTTCTCTTAAACATACAAACTACCTAAATAAGTAAACTCTGTGTGTTAGATAGTGCTATGGAGAAAAATTGAGCCGGGCAGGTGAGAAATGGGGAAACTGAGGGCTTCTAGGTGTAGCAAAGTGGGTAAAGCCTCACTGAGAAGCAGTCAGTGAATCAGGCTCAGAGAAACACGACCCCGGGGACCCATGCTGAGATCCAGGGCAGTAACACTGCAGGCGAGAGGGGCATACCAAGAATCTGAGGCCACAGCAGGCCTGACACAGTCAAGGAACAGAGAGGAACTCATTAAAGCTGCAGCAGAGCTAGAGTGGTGAGGATAGAAAGGGATAAGGCCAGAGAGGGAACAGCAGCAGTGTGGGCTGAGGCGGGGGAGGGAAAGTGGGGACACACAGGGCTCCATAATGGTTCACAAGGTTTAAAGGGGAAGGAGAGCTCTGAGGAGCAGCTGTGGCTGGGACCAGCCAGCCATCTCACCTCATCGTTGTGGAAATCGCATCTTGTTCCCCCATTTCCCAGGACAGCTGCTCACAGTGGTGGCACAGGTCAGGCTAGATGCCCAATTCAACACTCTATGAGGGTTGCAGACATGGAGAGCAGAGACTCAGTTCTCAGCTAATACTGGCATATAAGGCACAGCGTTTGTACCCTTGGCATGCATTGGGGCACACTGGCGACACCCTCAACAGTGTACACAGTGTGTACTTAGTCAAAGGGATATCATAGTCTCCAATGTTCATGAATATAACAGAGCTTCAAAATACACATGGCAAAAACTGATAAAACAGCAAACAATTCACTATTAGAGTTAGAGATTTCAACACCCCTCTCTCAGTAATTGATAGGCAAAAAAAAAAAAAAAAAAAATCAACTCTCTCAACCGATCTGACCTGATTAATACGGTAGAACACGCTACTTGACAATAGCAGAACACATTCTTCTCAAGTACACACAGAACATAGACCAAAAGAGATCACATTCTGGAACATACAACAGATTTCAGTCACTTTAAAAAATTCAAGCAATACAAAGCATACTTCCTGACCACAATCGAATTAAATTAGAACTCAGTAACAGAAAGATCTCCAGAAAATCCCCAAATATTTGGAAACTAGATTACACACTTCTATCTAACCCATAGATCAAAGAAGAAATAATAGGGAAATTAGAAAGTATTTTAAAGTGAATAAAAATGAAATAAAACATATCAGAATTTGTGGGATGCCACTAAAGCAGTACTTAGGTGGAAGTTCATAGCATCAAACATCTTAATATAATACGAAAGTTCCCAAATCAATAATTTCCACTTCTCCCTCAAAAAATGAAAAACAGAGCAAATTAAAACATAAGCAGAAAAAAAGTAGAAAGAATAAAAATCAACATGCAATTCAATGGAATACAAAACAGAATACAGGAAAAAAGTCAATAAAACCAAAAGTTAGGTCTCTGAGAAGATCAATAAAATTGATAAACTTCCAATCACACTGATCAGGAAAAAAAGAAAGAATACACGAATTACCAATATCAGGAATCACGTCATGTCACTACAGATTCTATAGACATGAAAAAGATAATAAGGGACTATTATGAAGAACTTTATGCCAATAAATTCAGCAACTTAGATAAAATGGACAAATTCCTTAAAAGACAAAAAAATACCAAAGCTCACTCAAGAAGAAATGAATAACCTAAATCGCTCTATCTCTTTCAAAGAAAAGGAAACTGTAGTTAAACATCTTTTCATAAAGAAAGGTCCAGGCTTTGATGACTTCATAGATGAATTCTACCAAACAAGGAAGAAATACTACCAATTCTATGCAAAAATCCTCCAAAAAATCCAAGAGGAAAGAATACTTCCTAACTCATTCTATGAGACCAAAACCTAACAAAGAAATTACAAAACAACTGGAAGATAAAACAAAAGAGAAGTAACAAGAATTAAATACTTCATAAATATCTTAACAAGAAATGTACAAAACTAGTATGAAGAAAATTCTGAAACACTCCTAAAAGACATAAAAGTATTTTTAAACAAACTGAAAGACGTTCCACATTCTTGGATGGAACAATTCAACAACAAAGATGTTAATACACCTCAGGTTAATATATGGAATTGAACAATTCTGATAAAAATGCCAACAAACACAAGAAAACCTAGAAATCTTCCTGAGCCAAAAAGCAAGGAAGACTCAAAGGCAAATGGGTTATCTATAGGACACAGGAGCAGCCTGAAGCAGACCCCACCCAAAAAGCTGGGGACAATTTTAACTTCAAAAAGAAATGTCTATAACTGACTATAAATTATTGAATAAGTAAATATCCCAGAGTCCAAAGTGACACTAAACAAGGGTGGGGCCGAGGAGGAAAGAAGAAGAGCTCAAATTTTTTCTACCACAGGAGATGACTACTGCATCAATGAAACCATGTTCCACAGAGTTAAAGAAACTAATGACTAACAGAAATGCTTGAGTTTGCAAGATAGCAGATAAGAAAAAAAAGCGACTTACTGAAATACTAAAACTCCCTCCACTTGTAAGACAAAACTAGCTGAAATCCGTCGGAACCAATATGGCCAACTGGAGTTTTCACAGATGGAGCTTTCTGACATCACAGCCCGAATTCCCACCACGTTTCATATTAACTCCTCCTGAATTTGCAAGTGACCCATGAGGGCATGAAGAGATAACTGCACCATGCCTGAGGACCTTCTGGACCTCCCCTTTCCTTCCACGAATCACCTACTAATCCCAGAATCCACTCCCTAAACCCTTTCTAAAAAAATTCCTGCGTTAAAGCCAGCATGAGGAGATAGGTTTCAGCTGGACTCCTGTCTCCTTGTTAGTGGACCAGCCATAAAAAGCTTTTCTTTTCTCAAAAACCTGGTGTCACAGCATTGGGTTCTAGCACATTGGGCAGCAAGCCCCTTTTGCTCTGTAACATCAATTTCTTCATCTGAAAATTGGCAGTTAAAAGGAAAGAATTAAGCATTTGCTCTGCCTTTTTAGAAGTTCACCCAGGTGATAAGAGAAAGTTATTTACAAAAGCTCAGTGGATAAATATAGAAATAGTGACATAATTAGAAAATCAACATTTTTAAACAAAATATTTGATTTAGGCAAAGATCATTAATGGGTGTCAAGTCCACTAGATGAAAGACTTCGGAGGAGCAGGGTATCTGGAAAAGAATACTTTTAATAATGAAGACATCTAGTGGTCACCATCTTAACCAGATGATAAAACCTGACATTAGTAATAATGGGACAACCTGACATTCCATACCTCTCAATATAATGCAAAATGAAGTACATAACTTCCCTTTTAAAATATTTTTACCAGAAATGTTAAACTTGAATCTAACCAAGTTCTTACATGAAACTCTAAGTTTCATGTAAGAAACTTGGCTACAGATGAATGCAACCAAAAGGAAGTAATCAGACAAGTCAGAATGGGGCATTCTGACTTTTTTCCTGCTTGGCCTAAGCCCCCTCCTTTTCTCTGTCTGCCCAGCCTCTGTCCTGGCTTTGGCAGGCTTGGCAAACACCGATGCAGTATGTAGAGGAGAAAGGCTGGTTTCTCTTTACTCTCATCCTGGAGTGGCACGGGCCCTGCTGGCAAATTGACCACATTCCTTTGAGAAAGAAGGGAAGAAGTCTGGGGAAAGCAGACTGCATGGAAAAATAATGACACATCGGTAGAGAAGATGAGTAGGGGCTACCCGCAGGAGGTGGCATTGAGAGTGATGGTGGTGAAGGAGACAGAGCCAGTGCTGAAGAGACTTGGTCCGGTGAGGACTTTCACAAGCCCGGGGATGACACACGGGTCTAGGAGGACACTGGTGCCAAAAAATTATAAAGTGACCAGTGAGGGCAATTCTTAACTCAGACATAAAAATTGGTTCCCTCATCTCAACCTTTAATTTCATAATGAAATAAAAACTCAATTAATGTCACCTTTCTTGGTGAAGAGATTGCGAAATGTACCACACAGGTAGAAAACTCCACCGCTGTGCAGATCAACATGGAGTTGGTAGCCGTGCAGTCCATACTCGGGGCTATCATCCAAAAACGGGCTATGTGGAGGTAGTTCATAGGGACTGAAAAGCAAAACAAAAGAAACATGCAAATTTGTCAGTGCCAGGGACAAAATTCTTGGTTTGAAAACACTTTTTAAAAAATTACCATCCATATGAAAGCACTACCTCCTACAAATGAAACACCATAGGATTCCCTATAATCTTCAATACCAGGAACTTAAAAGACTGCTCAATGTTCCTTTTACCAACTTCTACAAAAACAGGCAATGATGTGAGTTCTGTAGGCAGCCACAGCCCAGCACGGGTGCACGTGTTTCTGCAGCTGGTCCCAGGATGGCCACTCTACAAAGGCCACTCTGCCCCCATGTTGTTCTCAGTGTCCAGTGGACAGAAGCGCTCAGCAGGAAAAGGCACTGAACACCGATCTGCAGGACAGACAGACATCCAGGCAGACCCAAAGCCAACACAAAGTTTTATTCAACAAGAAAAACATGACTACATAAGGTGACAAATTCAAAAATATTCAGGAGCTTCTCAGGTAATAAAAAAAAAACAACAGTGAGTAAGGAAGAGTCTAAGTCCACAGGAAAAGGGTGAGAGCTGTAGTGAAATGGGAAGCCTGTGCCCCACCTAAAGACACAGTTCACTGAAAGACACACACTGTCCACACCAGACAGAATCATCCGCAGGCCAGGGTCAGCCCAAGGGCCATGAGTCTACGTGCCTCACAAGATGTGAAAATTCACATGAGAGCAAGAACTTGAAGGAGAGTAGTGGCATCTTAAAGTAATGAAGCTGTCCTACCCATATAAATAACATCCTACTAGGTATAAATTCCTTAACCCAGAATAAATACAGCAAATATGTACTTGTGAATAATCCAATTATTTTAGCAACAGCCAAATAATTATGCCTGTTGGTTTGTGTTTACTGATTAAAAACAGAATATCTCTGCAGCTATTCTCAGGATATTAAGATGGCATCAACTTCTAATACTTTATATTTACTGTACAAAAATTCAACACACCCACATATAAATACATACATAGTGGCCGAGCCTAATGTGCTTCTCTCCACAAGGTGATGAAAATGAAGATTTGCCATAACAAAAGCCAGTTCTTCCTCCTTCTGAAAAGTTAATTAAGAAGAATATATATTTCAACCAAAATGTTTAAATTTTTCACAAGGTCATTGTGAAGATCACAGCACATTCATCTTGCAGATAGATGCAGTTTCTTCCAACCATAAGATCACCACAGTGCTAATGCATTATTACTGCTAATATGTTATTACTATCTAATAAGACTTACATTTCATATTGACAGCAGGACCACAATTCACCCAAATATGCAGAGCACACAGGACCAAAAGAATTCACAGCCCAGAGCTTGCGAAATATCAAAAGATATATATGACAGTTGTGAAACTACGCAGTTAGTTCCAGGCTGTTTCAAACTCTTTTCAAAGACCTTCACAGATACCATATTAATTTCACAAATACTGAACTTCACTGACACAACATTCCTCTTGCAAGTAACTGCCTGATTTGGCCAACGTGGTGGGAATGATTAGATTCAACTTCTTCACTTGTCCATCAGGTTGAATAGCAGAAAATGCGACTATTTGGGGACTGACCTCCATTTCTCCCCAGATTCACAGCTGTCACTGATGGGCGTAGGTGACCCCAAATGGTAAATCTGAAGGTGCCACTCTCCAGTAGCCAGGCAGAGGACAATCGAAGCCACCAGAGTGCTCACAACTCTGCACCCGACACAGCTGAATGCATGCGAGTCACAGAATGCAGAGCAGGCAAGCTGCAGTCTCACCCACAAGCCACCTTCACACAGAAAGGGGAGAAGGGAAAGAAAAACTGACGGCCACAGTCGGCTGAGGAAAGGAAAAGGGACTAGAGGATTGCGTTGTCTGAAGCTGGGGTCTTAATTCCATCTAGTCATTGTAAACTAATGCATAATGCCAACGCAGAATCAGATTTGTGAAGTACTATCTTAAAGTATCAGCCAGACGTGGGGAAACAAGAAATCTTATGCAGAGAGAAAGGATAACATCTTAGACACCTGACCCTGAAGAGCAGATTTCACTCAAAGCCACACCTACAGGATCAGAAACGTGCTTGGGAGACGAGCGTGCTGAACACATAGTAAGGGGAGACGTTGTCAAAGAAAGAGCATGAAAGGAAGAGAAGGAACATGGACTGATTGGAAGTGGGAAAGCCACATGCCATTAAAGGAGTAACACGAAGGAAAACATGAAGGCAGGAAGAGGTTGTTGTCTATGACAGCTGAACAGCAGAACAACAGATAGCACAGCTGTCTATGATACCAGAATAGCAGAACAGCCTCGGTGGAGCAGAGGGCCAGGTTAGTTTGGAAAAATGAGGTTGGTGAGATGTAAAACGGATTGCAGTTAGTGAAAAGACTTAAAGCATTTTACATTTGATGTCACACACAATGGTAAGTAAACGTGGTATTGTGATGGGGAAATGACACAGTACATACAGGCACTCAAGTCTTACCTTCCACACTCCCACCAGGAGGCCAGGGTGCAGGCAGAAGATCCGAATGAGTCTGTCACAGCCAATCATGGTAGATACGGTCAAATGACTCAGATTGTACTTTGCAATTAAAGAATGCCATCGGAGTCTTTGAACGTTATGCCAAGGAAAGGAGAGAGAGAAGTGAGCTTTCCTGTCTGTAGTGTTGCCAGTTCTCTTTAGCGTATCACAAATGTGTTTGAAGAGCATGTTAATGATGTGCTCAAACTAAGTGGCACGTTGCCAGGGTGGGGACACAAATGAATAAAAGGCAAAATGGATACATTCAGATTTCCAACCCAAATAGGTTTTTCTTCCCCTCCATCTTGTTCTTACTGTCAACTCAATGACCCAGCCAGGAGGAAGCTGAAGTATCAGGAAAGGGGTGAAGTGGTAGAACTGTCTCCTGTTCTATTCCCTCAAAACCCAGCACAATACAATCTAAAGCAGACACTCACTGTGCATTCCTAGTCAAGTGAGTGAAACGACACAGAAGCAAAGATACACTATTTCAAGTGACATAAGAATGGGTGGTCTCAGGAGGTGGTTGGAAAGCAGATGGGCCTTTTACAGTTATTATCAAGGATAACTCAGAGAAGGTGAAAGTTGACACATCAGAAATAAACTGAAACTAAATCACCAGTGTTTTCATAAAGGAGACACTAATACAGCATTAAACTGAAATCCCTAAGGAGCTGGGGTCACATCTCATTCAACAGGTGGTGCCCAGCACCTCAGGCACAGTCAGCAGGCAATAGGTATTCAAAGGTACATTAAATAAGCGAGTTAAAAAGGACACCAGCTGCAGTCCTGTTTCAAAGTGGAAGGGACTGTGAGGCATCAAAACCAGATCTGCAGCTACCACATGACCCTAGTCCCATGTTCAACTTTTCAAAATAACTTCTTGTGCAGAGAACCACAACTGGGTAAGGAGAGATGGTCGGTGAGCGTGTGTGATGTAGAAATTAGAAATAAACCCAGCAAAAATGCAGAATACACTTGGAGGAGGATAAATGCAGGGTCAGGAACCTCACCATGGAGTCAGGGAAACCTGAGGTAAAACCTTAGCTTCAACCTACAGTGACTTTGTGACTATCACAGGCTGGTTCTTCGTGTATGAAATCACCAGCCTGCTCAGTGGGGACGAGAGCACAGGGCGTGGGGCAGGTGCTCAATAAATTGCAGTCCCTGCTAGTATCATTAGTGTGGACAGAGGCAGCTGGGTGGGGATGCGAGAAACCTTCTTCTCTGAAAATCTGGCTGTAGAGGTACTTATTAAATAGACTCTGAGAATGTGCTGAGTCCTCATGTGCTTGGCCTCACAGCCACAGACACAGAAACTAAGGCTGACGTTTCCCCAGCAGTTCTCACAAATTTAGGGTGGGATAGCACAAGCTGCAGAGCAGAAAACGCTGGCAAGGAAGAAAATTGAGAATCTGACTAGAAAGGTATAAATTACAGGGGAATCCAAATTACATCAATAAGGCTTTCACTGTTGTTGAAAAACTTCTCATAGAGGAAACAAGAAAGACCCAAATAAAAACCACAGAGTCTCTTCTGGGCTGTCACACAGATGCATACAAGGATTTATATTCCTGCATGATGAAAGCATTCAGTTACAAACTTGCAATAAAAGTGCCGATCAAAACAAATTCCTAAAAAACACTTTTAGTTTTGTTTATCGCAGTTTATCAAAGGCTGGCTGAAGTCCATTGAAGTTCCATGGAAATAAATTACATCAAATGAATTTTCCCAATGAACTCTAGCATTTGGCAGTCTACAGTATCTATTACTTTTGACCTTGATGACCATTTTAGGGATATACTGTCTTTAACTGAGCTTTATAACTCAACATTATCCATTTAACTTAATTCTTCAGGATCATTTGAATTAGTGTTAGCCATTTTGTCCTAATATCTGTAAATAACATTTCATGATATGCCAAGTAACATACTGTTTAGCAAAACTAGTACAGTTTGTGGACTTATTCTCCAAACGTAATTTTGAAATGCATAAAGTCTAATTACCACATTAGAAAAAGCTGACTTCCTTCATGATACCACAAGAAATTTCAAAGATTTATCCAAATAAAAGTACAATTTTTTAAAAAGGTAACTGTTTCCAAAGTATTCTCCATAATATATTCAGGAAAAATAATTCATTTGTTGTCATAATATCAAGAATATTTTTAGAGTACAATAAAACCTGGATTTGCCAGCATCAAGAGGTCTGAATAGTCTTACATTCAGAGCATGGAAAGAGAGCTCAGTAATCACTAAAACAATGCTCAAAGAGCAGGCGCCATGGAGAGGAGCCAAAAACAGGGTCCCCAGTTACAGAGCTGCAAAAAAAGAAAAAAAAGAAAAAAGAAAAAAAAGTGCCTGTATCCAGGGAAACCATGAAAGAACGCTGTCCCTCCATGGAGACGGCAGGCACTAATGTCAGATATCACAGCATCCTCCAGAGCAAGGACAGACAGGAGAGAAACCAGTGGGTGCAACTGCAGCATGCAAGGATGCTAAGAAAACGACATGGCAAATATTCCTGAAAAGTCAAAGAATAGTGAGACAGTGAAGGAACTGGGAGGGCAGGAAACCAATGTGGAAGAAGGCAGGTATTACCTTTATATTTGCAATATATCTTATATAAAGCTATGCTAGCTTGCTCCAGAGATGAGGATGCTATGCATGCCATAATCCAGCTTTCAGAAGGAAGCAATCAATGATGAAAAAGAGAGCCTGAGAGAGCTGCTCAAAGGCAGATGCCAGCCTCATAGTGAATATGGACTCAGTGCAAAGCCACCTGACAACAGAATAGTAAAGGGCTCACTAAGCATTACCCATGTGCTGCACACTTAGCTGATCTACACATTCTACAGTGATATCTTTTGATCAGTCTTATTCACTGCAGTCATATATGCTAAATACTACGCCAGTATAATGATCATCTTATTTCAGAGACGAGAGAATGGAGACATAAAAAGAGTAAGTTACTTGCACAAGATCACATATCTAGTAAGTTCAACAGAAGGCAGACAAAATAACTGATCATTATGACTTGGTTTCCTCATATTTAGACTACGATTAGTATTCCATTTACTAAAGAAGGAAGATACCACATATCTTTCCGTTAAGATGGTTAAAATGAAAAACCTCAAAGGTTAGCCATCAATCATCCAGGAAATGTTGTTAACTAGAATATCATTCTCTACCATTAAAGACAACCAAGATATGAGGAACTTAAATTTAGACCTAATCAGAAATGTGATAAAATGCATTATTTTCCTCTTCTACAGTAATGCAGAATGTACATTTAATATGTGATAAAATTAAAAAACACTGCTCTTATTTTTTAATTACAAAAGTAATGCCAAGTAATATTTACACATAAGATGCTCTCACTCAACAGTTCTGCTGATTGGTACTTACCTATGTTTGGTGGGAGTTTTATACCAGTCCATAAAAACTGGTGTCACACCACATAAATCTAAGGTTGACAATGACGCTAGGCACGGCCAGTTTTTGCCATACCATATAACAGTAACTGATGTGTCATTTACGGAAAGATCAACATGCTCCATGATATATTCTTTTCCACTTTTTTCTTTCAGTATAATTGTCCAACCTAAACCAAACATTCTGGAGAAAGAAAAAAAACTAACAATGTTTGCCTCATTGGAAAAAAAAAATGCTAAAGGCAATTTCACATATCTTCTCTAAAGCATCTAGTTCCTCAAAATCCAAAGTCAAAATTCTCAGAACATGCCCAGTTCAATTTTCATTTCAACAATAGTACTCTCTTCAGACTTTCTCTCCTCACCTAACACCCACTGAACATCCATGATCTTCCAGGTACTGGCAATACATAAATAAGACAAAGATTCTGCCCGGAAAAGAGACCTTGAACATTCTCACTGTACTACAGCAGATAAGTCGGTTACTTCTGCTTTTCATTAAAACTTTAGGCTATTTACTAGTTATCCCTCTGTCTCCACAGGAAATTGGTTCTAGGACCCCCGTGATACCAAAATCTGTGGACGTTCAAATCCCTTATATAAATGGCATAGTATCTGCATGTAACCTAAGCTCCTCCTCCCGTATTCTTTAAATCATGTTGAGATTACTGATAATACCTAATACAATGTAAATGCTGTGCAAACTGTTACTATGTATAATGTACTGGTTTTATTTGTATTTTACACTGATATTACTGTTTCAGGTTCCCCCCGCCCCTACCAATACTTATGATCTGCAATTGGTTGAACTGGCGATGCAGAAGGCTATGTGGAATAGGAAAATGCTACATATTTTATAGATGCACAAAACACACAAAAATACTAGAGATGGTCCCACACAATCTAAATTGCACATATGTCCTATGTACATGATACTTTGAGCTGATGCCATCATTCTCTTTTGGAACACACTGCGTACCTGAGGGCCTCTTTGGTCTTAACTGGAAGGCCTGTGTAAGGGTTGACAGGTTTGAGAATGTCAGCTAGTGCGGCTTTTACAGATGCTATTTGTTTTGTGATATATTCTTTCTTCCAATAACCAGCTTCTTTATCCTGAACTGACAGAAAGCTCACAGACACAGCTATCTTCTCTACTGAATTAACTTTCCAATTTGATCTTGTAGGTGAAAATGCGGTTGAGTAGATTCTGATCCAAATAAAACTGGAGGGAAAAGAGGAAATATGTTAACTAAGAGACACTGTCACCTACCTTAGTCATAATATATCAAATTAGAGATGCATAATATTCTCAAATAATCCAATTCCATGAATAAGTCAAGCTGAATATTTACAGTTGAACGTTCATCTGTTAAAGTGAGTTGCAGTTTCAGATTTAGTGTTTTAAATTCAACACCACCAAAAACACCACCAAAAACACCACCAAAAACCACTGCCTCTTATATCAGTAATGGAATAGGAAATCTAGTATTTTAAAAGTAACAGAAAGTATATGTAATATGATTCTTGTTTTTAAATATATACATGCTTTTTAAAAAATCAGAAAGGATGTATGTACGCACACCAAGAAATTTCAATAGGGAACATTGGAATTGTACATTCTTTTTGCTATTTTTTAACTTTCAACAAGGAATAGGCTTTCACAAAGAGAAAAAAAAGTGAAGATTTTTAATGGTAACAACTAAACAATAGTTAACATTAAGTTTTTTCAACATTTACTATGTGTCAAGCATTGTTTAACCACTTTATGTATTATACATTACTCATTTATTCCTCAGAAAGAAACCAGGAGGTGCTGGTATTCCTGTTCCCACTGCACAGATGCTGTCACTGAGGCTCAGATGCAAGGTGAGCTGGCCCAGGTATGTGCACTCAAGTGTATAGTGAAGCTGGGATCTGAACCATAGCTCACACTGTTATCACCTGGGTTTCACTGCCTCTTCAATCACAAAGAAATGGGTCAAAGAAACTGAATAAGCTCGCCAAATTCAGAGAGTCAATAAGCCTCAATCTGGGAATTCTAACTCAGCTCTGACTCAAAGTCTGTTCCTTCCACTCATCTCTTCTAAGAGGCCGGGAGAAGCCCCACGAGTGGTGGCAGTGAGCTGGCCTGAGGGCTCCTCCCTCTCAGCCAGTACTCTCCACCACCACCAGGAAAGAGAAGGAAGACACGGGGAAAACTGAGTCAGGGATTAAAATCAATTCCTTACCTGAAAGGCAAACTTTGCATTTTAAACATTAATGATCTGCTCATTTATGTCTCCACATTACTACTCAGAGCAGTATGGGATGAAGCAGTCAACGGCCTGGAGGCTGCAGGGAGAAAGCGATTCTCCCACAGAGCGGTGGTCCTGAACTGCAGCAGGACCCCTGGGGATAAGCCTGGGTGCTCTGGGGAGGCAGAACTATTGCCTTAACTGCAGCAGAAAAGGACCATTTCTCAAACACATGACTTCAGAACGCCACCTCCTTGACTCAGACATTACATGGACTTCCCAACAAATGCAAGCTCACACACAGTCAGACCCTGGTTGAATTCTCTTCCTAGTGTGGGTTTCTCAAGTCATTTCTCTCTCTGAAAAATCCGAAAAATCACTTCATGCCCAGCTTTTATGTTAAAGTGTCAGTGTTTTCAAGTCAGAAATTTCTAGACTTTCCTATGTAAGCGGATAGATGCAATGTGATGATGAGTTGAGTACATTTAAGTAAAGCTGAAACCGTTTCACCAAAATCCTTTGAATAGACACTTTTAAAACTTCCTTTGCATAAAAGCTTGCTTGTGTTTTCTTCACATTTATTTTACTCAGCATTTCACTCTATGTAAGTATTCCTTTAGCAGGACCTTTATGGAGCCTTGAATTCCTCACATCAGCACTATCTAAACAACCTCTGATACTATTTTTACATGTGTTAGCACTTACCAACTGCAAAAACAAACACTGTTGCAGAGATGGGAATCACAGCATAAACTCCACATGAAGCTAGTAACAATAACCACACCTAACATTCCTATGATAAACTATGTTCACACACGATCATATATTACTTACTGTAAATGAACCTAAGTAAAAACATTTTATATTGCAGATGGTTCCCCTTGATTTTTTATAATACACAAATGTTAAGGTTCAGATGCCTTTCACAGTCTCAAAAACCCAAACACATTTACTTCTTGATCCCCAAATGCTCCATCCTGTTAGAAGGCCTAGTCAGATTCAAGGACAAGAGCATATTTATCCAATATAACTACCAACAGGCTCAGGGAAACTCAACTAAGTTGTTTAGAAAATGGGGCCAATTTAATGTTCAGATAAATAGTGTTTGCCAGAGTACATGGCAAATAAAACCCCCTTGTGATAAACCAGATGCCACCTCATCCACACATCCTTGTTATTCCCATGCAGAGACTAGCGCTCATGCAGAAGAGAGTAGCCCCCCCGGGATGGGGCACCGGGGAGCCCCCTGCCCTTCAAGCGTGTCTGCCCACAAGTCATCAGAGCGTAACTTGCTACACTATGTGTGCTTGCCCTCTCTTCAGAAGCAACGCTTAGAATACACTGTAAACTTTTCAAAAACACGTATTGATTACTCGTTCAATTATCACACATCCTTTTCTGTAGTCTGACTTCATGATCAGACATTGACTTTAAGAGTCAGACTATTCCTCTTTAGGTCCTTTAGCAGGACCTAAAAAGTGCAACTCAACTTAGCACAATTAAATATGTCCTTTGAAAAAGAAAAGAAATGTGAGTGCAATTTCATCAGAAGCTCATATTTCCAAACGGCAACTTCCAAGAAAGTGAGGAGGGCACACGAGTAATACTAAAAGTGTGCAAAAAACATCACTACAGCTGTGCTCCAAATCTGATTCCAGGCCTGATTTCTTCACCATGCAGGTGAAGTGAAGAGCAGAGACAGTACAGAAACTAATATACAATTTATTAGCTTATCTGAAGAGTCTGAATTCTACCGTTAAATAAAGTGGGAACCTCCCAGAATGCTACAGTTTTAGACATTTGGTTGACTCCTTCCTTGAAAAATGCCTTGCTGTGCTTTCTTTTAGTGACCACCTTCATCTCTTATTAGATCACTGTCTTAGTCTCTTTGTGTTGCTACAAAGGAATACTTGAGGCTGGGTAATCTGTAAAGCAAAGAGGTTTATTTGGCTCATAGTTCTGCAGGCTGTACAAGGAGCACGACACCAGCATCTGCCTCTGGTGAAGCCTCAGGAAGCTTCTACACATGGCAGAAAACCAAGGCAAGCCAACTGTGCAGAGATCACGTGGCACAGAGAGAGAGAAATAGAGTGAGTGAGCAAGAGAGAAGGAAGGGAGGTCTGCCAGGCTCTTTTAAACAACCAGCTCTAGACCAAGAACTACAAGGAAGGCACCAAGCCATTCAGGAGGGATCTGCTCCCATGACCCAAACGGCTCCCATTAGGCCCCAGTTCCAACACTGGGGATCAAATTTCCACATGAGGCTTGGTAAAACAAATAAATCTCAACTACGTAAACTACAACAATCATTAAGTAAGGGAAATGTAGAAAATGCTCTAATTCATTGTGTAACTACTGTGAAGAACATTATTAGTTCATTCTTTGATATGTACGTGTGTGTGTGTGTGCGTGCATGTATTGACATAGACAGACGTATGTTCTTCCATACAGGAAACATCTCTTTAAATTAAAAGAAAAATCACCTTTCCAACTAGGGAACAGTGTATGTCCTCTTCAGAGTATGACAGTGGTTGAGGACAGCTTTAATGAGATCTGAGGGCTTACTCTGAGTTCCTCACTTAAGTGGCATACACCTAACATCAAAGATGGACTAGATTAGTCATTTCAGAACTTGACTATTCAGAATTATTTATTTATTTATTTATTTATTTATTTATTTTGAGATGGAGTCTCGCTCTGTTGCTCAGGCTGGAATGCAGCGGCGCGATCTCGGCTCACTGCAAGCTCCGCCTCCCGGGTTCACGCCATTCTCTTGCCTCAGCCTCCCAAGTCCCGAGTAGCTGGGACTACAGGCGCCCACCACCATGCCCGGCTAATTTTTTGTATTTTTAGTAGAGACGCGCTTTCACCATGTTAGCCAGGATGGTCTCTATCTCCTGACCTCGTGATCCATTCGCCTCGGCCTCCCAAAGTGTTGGGATTATAGGCGTGAGCCACCGCACCCAACCAGAGAATTTTTTAAATACAGATTTCAAAGCACTAAATTATAATCTCTAGAAATGCAGAGTAGGGATGGAAATTTTTTAAACTTTCCCAGGTGGTTCATATGTAGTCTTCTCTGGATGGCATTTGAGAACCACTGCACCAAATGACATTCTTGTCCACCATGTTCCAGGGTTAACTAATATGACAGCCCTCCTTCTGCCATTCTCCATCTCCTTACCTAGTAAACAAAACCACCAGTTAAAACCTGCATTCCCTCTCATCTTGCTGATTTCCCCAGCTGACATGTAGGTTCTATGTAGGAACAATATTTGTCTGATCTTTTGATGCTGAATGAGAGAGGGGCCTAAAAAGCCAAGACGTTCTGTTGTAGGCCACGAAATCATCTCTCCCTCCAAGATATAATTCTGAGATGCAGGCTAAGATTACAGTGACAAACAGAAGCAGAGGCTTCTCCCCTTCCTTCCTAGATCTTCCCCCTGCAAGCCCAGATGACCACAGGTGAACCCCTCACTTTTGGCTCCCTGCTTCCAAGGGTACAGCCTCCAGGAGAGGACAGTCTTGGCCGCTCTCTGTCCACTTTGCTCTCCCCACAGAGTAAGTTAACTTGATTGGCATGTTTGGGAGGAGAAGCTAAGTACACCTAACTTAGCCTCTTCCTTCTCTTTCTTTAGAATCTGCTTGGCCATCAGCAGAGAGCACTCATTCTGCTCTGCAAACGAAGCGCCAGGATCAAAGCCAGCAGGTCCCTGCAGTGCTGCCTGAGACTCTGTGATTAGGTCTGATTCTGTGGGGAATACAGCCAAGACCTCCTGACAACAGACCTGAAGTTGCATTCTCTAACAGCTACAGCAATAACAAGTTTGATTTTTTTCCATGCAAAGTATATTCATTTTAAGCATATAAATGCAAATATTTGAAAATTTCATAGCTAAAGCATTCGACATTTCCACGTGTGCAAAAATACTCCTGAATTCTCTTAAATTCTTAAAAATGGTTAAAAAGTTACTAATCTTCCTGACTTCCATCAAATTGTCATCAAAACATAACAGAGACTTGGATTTCTGCTTACTTGTCATTGGCTAGATGGTAAAAGCGCCTGCTCACACATCCAGCACACAGCAGGCTCACAGCATCCAAGTAGGAAAATATCTTCAGCAAGATTTCTGAAGGCATTCTGCAAAAACAGAAAAGGAAAAACAAATCACCAGAGTGGACCAGGGCTTAATCTACAGATTACCCAGAAAACAACTGGCTGCTCATCTCTAAATAGAAGGCCATAGACAGACTCCTCCTGTACAAAAGGCAAACTGTACCCTCATCTTCAATTATTTTCTTTATTGAAATTTTCTGGTTATTCTAATTCTCATGACATAAACCATAAATAGAGTCAAGGGTTGGAAGAGCTAACTTCCTCGCATTTTAATCATGTTCACACACTGTGAATCAACAGGCAGAATTTCAGGGTCCCCCATGAAACTATGTATTTTTTTATTATTATTTTTGTAGAGATAGAGTCTTGCTCTGTTACTCAGGCTAGAATGCAGTGGCATGATCAGGGCTCACTGCAGTCCTGAATTCCTGGGCTCCAGCCATTCTCCCACCTTAGCCTCCCCAGCAGCTGGGACTACAGGCACATGCTGCCACGCCTGGCTAATTTTTTGTATTTTTTGTTTCACCATGTTACCACCAAACCTGGACTAAACTACGTATGTTTCTTTAGTGAGATAAAGAGAATCAGAGAACATATTCGTAGGTATTAATAAGAAAAACACAGAATCCCTTTCCCCAGAAAAGTAAGTATAATGGGAAATACCAGCTTATTCTGACCTCGCCCACACCAATCCCAGGCGTCGCCTTCTGAGCACCCTTGGGCTTTTGACTGCTTCCTCTGGGGCTTCAAGGAGACACCAAGGGCCATAAATTTTTTCTGAAGTGTCTGTTTTATTTGTATGCCTAAATATGATATTGAGATGTAGTCTCTATACTCGACCTATTTCTATGACCTCAAAATTCTATAAAACACAGTAATAATCTGAAAGTGACTAGAAAGTATCACTAGTGTCAAGAAGTCAGGAGTGTGCCTCTATGAATCTTCAGCAAAAGGGCAGGTGACAAGAGCAAGAGAGCTACCACAGATTGTATCAAGGGTTGGTGGTGGGCAGTTCTAGGGATAAAGGAGTAAGGGGAGAAATCTTTTATCCAATTTAAAAGGGCTTGCCCATACTGTCTACTTGTGATTGTTATGATTTTAAATTTGTTTCTTTTTCAAGAAAATCAGGTTACAGGTTATCAGTCCCATAATCCTGATAATACTGAGAAGGAATAAAGCAGATTCTCAGAAAAAAGACAGTTAACGCCATGCCTGTTGGATATGTATCACCATGTAAATGTTCCCACTGCTCAAAGCCCCAGCTACAGTTAACCAGAGACGTTCTGAGAGTTTAAACAAAAAGCTTTGCTTAAGCATTACTTAGATCAGTCCCCCAAATCAAACCCCTCCCATTCAGAGTCAAAAAATTAGATACTTTCAATGAGAAAAAGTCTCTAATGCTAGAGACAGCAAAGTTGCAAGAAAACATTTTTGTGACCATTTGGATTATTCATTGCATATAATTTTCATATTTTGATTTAACTACTTCCCAAAACTTCCTATCTATTATTTTTTAAATCAGTACAATTTAAAAAAAAAAAAAAAAACCAGAATTGGGCTTAATGACATTTCAGAAAAGTATCCAGCAACTACCAGAATTATTTAACTGGAATAAAATCCCACTCAAGACAGGCATTCAGCAGGTTTTCACCTTCCTCCCCACTGGACTAACCTAATGAAAAGGGGGTTTCCCTGTGTCCTAGCAAAAGGAGAAAATCTCTACTTTATAGTTAAGACAGTGGAGATAGAATACCTTCTTAATTATTGTTCAAACAATTTCTTCTAACCTGGTACAATCAATGTTTACACCCATATTGGATTACTTTCTGTTGGATTCTAGTTATTTCACTTTGTATGGGGTAAGGAGAGAGGATGATAGGGAGATAAGGGAAAGGGGAGGTCAGAGGCAGGACCCTTCAAAACGCAGAACAAAGAAACTGCTTTGAACCAACGAGCTTCCCTGAGAATGTTAATTTGTGCATGTTCATTTTCAGTACAGTGGGAATTCAAATGTGAACACGTTCTTGTCCCTGCTTCATATTGTGGATCTATCCCAATATTCCTGTTTTCCTCATTGTCTTCCCCATTCCAATGGAGAACGCTCACTTCCCTGCATCCAAGCACTTGTGCTCTAGGTCCTCACGGTTTCTGCACAAGGACCTCAGTCTCTGGTTCCTGCCTCCCTCTTCCACACTGTTGATATGAGCCTCTGAATCACCCCGAATCTCTCATCCTGAAACCACACTCTTCCTTTGCTTCTCCCCACCCTGATCTCTCTGGAGCCACCACCTAATTTCTAGGCTCCCTCACGCTGCCAAGCTCTGGGAAAGAACAAAAGAAAACAAAACAGTTGTCTACACCTGTTGCCTCCACCTCCATGCCCCCTTTTTTGCTTTTTACATTTCAGTGTGGAATAGAACATACACAAATATGAAAACGAGTGGCCAGCCCCTTCCCTTGCATTCACCTGCAACAGCTCTGAGGGGCCACCATGCCCTGCTGCCTCCTCCCCCTGCCTCCCCAGGCCGCAGGTCACTGACTGCTCTTGTGTTTCAGGCTGTCTCCTCCTTTGCTTCACACACAGCCTCTCCTCAATTTCTTGGACCTCAGGGCTCTGCCCTGGCCTGCTTGGTTGGTTCTCACTGCCCCGGGTCTTCCAAGCTTGCTCCTGAGTCACCTTTGCCTTCCCTTCCCCACCCTTTCCCTAAGCACCTCACCCAGCTCCATGACTGCTGACCCCACCAGGCCTCATCCTGAGCCAGACTGACACATCCATAATCCATCTGGCATCCTCCTTTGAACGCATCCCAGACATCTCAGCTGTAACCAGTCCAAAGTCACCATCACGGCCCTCTCTTCTGCCCCGACCCCACCTCTCTTCCATCTCAGCTAACAGCACCTCAATCTGTGCTACTGCTTCAGCCAACAGCTTCGGATTCCTACTTGTCTGTTTCCCCCTCACACCTACATCTAATTCATAAACGAACCATGTCAGCTATGCCTCCAAATATATCTGCCACTTGTCTCTGCATCTTCCCTACTTCTAGAGAAGAGAGGTAAATAAGTAAACAAGATAATCTGGGAAATTACATGACATCCACCCTCTTCCCCAGAGCCTGGTAGCCAAGCCTGATGGGCTCCCCCACTCCCACACTGCTCCTGTAGCATCTGGAGCCCCCACCACACCTGTGGTCTCCCCTCACTGGCAAGCTCCTCTCATAGCTCTTGAATCTCAATGTTCAGTTCTCATCTCAAATGCACCTCCTCAAATAAGTCTTTCCTCACCACGCCACCCCATTATTCTGGATTTGGGGATCCATTTGTTTTCTCGACAACAGGTATCCCAACTCACTGTATTTTAAATCTGCCTCCCTGACTAACCATCAGCTTCGTGAGAACATGTGAGGGGCTCACCACTTGTGTCCCAGTACCAAGAACGGTATCTGCTACAGAGCAGGTCCTCAAATATTTAATGGATGGACTAACCAAATGAATATTTGCTCCGTTTCTCATATCAGATGACTGTAAAACAGCCTATTCCCAGAGCTAGGGTTTTAAGCTGAAATTAATGACCTGAATTAAAAATCCTTTTTGCTTTTTCTTTTTAAAAACACACTGAAATTTGTATACAAATACATACATTGTTAGCTGAGCTAGCTATGATACAGCGTTAAAAGCCCAGAATTTGAAATCAGGCAACTTATATCTGAATCACACAGTTCTGCAATATGCAGACTACGTGGGCCTAGCTTCCTGCAGTGTAAAATGTCTCTGTGATCGTCTCAAGCTTTCAGGCTCCCCACGATGCTTAGCATATAATTGGTGTTCCATAAATGTTACTACAGTACAAATCTATGGACTTCTAAGCATCAATTACAAATAATAATTTTTTAAAGCTTCTGTGGATCTTGGTGCTGAGGGTCACAGTACAGAATCTTGCCATGGCAAATGGGCTCCCAGATATTGAAAGCTGAGAAATGAACAGAGCTCTTAAACTTTCAGGAAAACACACTTTAATCTTCTTTCTCCTTTTTCAAGGGTCTTTATCAACTCAAAAGTGAATATTTTTGAAGAACATTTTAGTAAAAGGAAAATTCAATTTACTTGTCACTTCTTGAAGTTTCGTTTCATAAAGTTCAGCTCATAAGGATAGTGGTGACAGGCCCATGACTCATGAAACGCTCCATGCTGTACTGTCTTCCCACACAATCCTATTCTTAGCAAGCTCAAAATAGCAACTTGGTATATACAGCATCATAACTTTCTCTAATAACCCCATGCCTAGAGGCCCCCAAAAGTGACAGTCTACTTCTGCTACTTACCCATCCAGGAGCCCAGAACAGCAGGAGAAAGCGCTCTCCCAGCGCTGTCCACCTCTGGCATGGCACCTCAGGGCAGCAGAGCCTGCAGAACACTTGACCCCTGGCCCCTTTCTGAAAGTAAATGTGGGAAATTCAAATTATGTAATTATCAAAGGAGGTGAATTATCTATTCCCTTCTACAGAATTCCAAAGGATTCCTAAACTCCAAAGATTACTCATTGAAAAACTCCATTTCTGCAAAGAAAAAGAGGAACGGAGGAAGGAAAGATGGTAAGTAAGGAAGAAAGGGAGGGAGAAGGAAAGAAGAGACAGTGAAACCTTTAGTGTCCTGGTAAGGAAACCCAAAGACCGTACTTACTCTGATGTGCTTTCACCCTAAGGTTTAGAAATATATGCTCTCATTATAGGCTTTCAACATATCAAAGAGGTGCTATCAGATACATTTAATGGAAACAAAAAGGATAAAGTTAGTGTATTGATTGGCCAATTTGGATATAACAGAAACCATTAAAGGTTTTTTTAAAAAAAAACAAACTTGAAATTAGTGAACTAGAACTGTCAACATAATCTACAACTTTTCTGATCTTTGAGGGTTCCAACTCTAGTTTTTGCAGTCATAGACAAATTACCAAATATTCATCCACAAACTTTTACATTTTAACCTCACTGGCCATCTTTTTATTTTAGTGGTACAGAAAACAGTGGTACATCTTAGAATCAATGGTTTTATAGATTCAATGAAATAGCGTATAATATTTTTATGCAGCGTGTTTTTTTCAGAGGTTCCTAAAATAAATTTTATTAAGATCAGTCCTCAAAACCAGTAGTACTCAACAGCACCTTGAGGGAATTCGAAACACCAGAAAATCATGCAGCTCACAGCCTCCATGTCTAGGCAACAGCACACCCGGAGAGTCACGAGTGGTTACACTATTTCTCTAGGAAAGGTTTGGAAGCTTCTGCTTTAAGCAACGTACAACACACAGGTATTGGTTATTGACGCCCCTCCTTCTAGGTGTGCTATTTGAGAAGTGGCTAAATCCTAGAGGGTACATTACATATACGCTCAGTTCACCAACACCATTGCTTCAAATACGTATTTTGTGCAGTGACAGTTTAACCACCCTCAGTTTTTCATACCACGTTAATTCCCCAGATATATTTGAAAGAACATTCATAGAGGAGGGCAACAATTGGGAGCAAAACAGAGGTGTCCTAAGAACTTGGAAGAAAGCTGAAGTATGAAATCCACACACAACTGGTCTTCACAGAGGATGACCCTCAACTCTAAGCACAACTTATTAGATGACACAAGTGGTGAAAAAGGAGCCCTTGCCCAGGCCTCAGCTGGCCAGGTGATAGTGCGGCCTGGAGCCTACCGCAAGACAGCATCATGATATGCATACGCCAGGAGGCACTCAAAGCACCCACTGGCACCTGCCTGCCCTGCTCAACAGGCACAATTCCCCACATGCTTCCGAGCAGCCACAGAGTAAATTCCTCTTCCCTTTGCAGATCTTTCTCTCTAGAAAAAAAGCACAGTAGCTGGTACAGGGAAGGCCCTCCACGAATACTAGTGATCAGCTGCCCCACTGGCATCTCAACAAAGAAGAAGTTGCATAAGGTAAACTTTTCCAGATCCTGGAAGAGTAAAAATGCACCGAGGAAAAAAATGCTGGCTCCACATGCCTTTCCATTCCAGCTCCAGTAAAAGGTGCTTAATGTACTTTTGGTCTTATATGACTTTCTAGCCAATTGTTTTCAATCTGTGCTCTGCAGGGCAGGAAGACAGGGAGAAATGACAGGAAGAAATGCTAATTTGGAAATTTTTGCAATGCCCTCTCTTCCTTTAATCAGATAATTCTGCCTGTGTTATGTATTTTTGTACTTCTGTTGGAAATTTTGTTTAAACACAGATTTCCACAGGAGAAAAGCTTAGGCTCCATTAATGTGGTCCTAAAATAGTAATCAGAAGTAAAATATCATTTTCTAATTGCATTCGTTTCCTAAGACTGCCTTCACGAATTGGGTGACTCAGAACAACAGAAATGTATTGTTTCATGTCTTAGTAGCCAGATGTCCAAAACTCACGTTGTCAACAGGACCACATTCCCTCTGAAGGCTCTAGGGAGGATCATTCCTTTTTCTGGTGGTTGCCAGAAATCCCTGGTATCCCTTAGTTTGTGTCAGCATAACTCCAATCTCTGCCTCCGTCTTCACAGAGCAATCTTCCCTCTGGGCATATCTGTCTCTGTGCCTCTTCTTATAAGGATATCATTCATATTGCACTTAGGACTCTCCCTCATCCAGCATGACCTCATCTTAACTAGTTACACCTGCAGAGATCCTATATCCAAATAAAGTCATATCCTGGGGTTCCAGGTGGACACAGATAACTTTTAGAAGGTATAATACACTTTGTTTACTGTCACTAGTCAACACAGTAAACAAATTTGTAATACATTCTAAAATTATTTAAAAGCATGACATTTTTAAATGGTTATTATTCTTATAAAGTCTACATAGACTTATGCTACATATTCAAAGATAAAATATCTACAATTGACAGAGGATTCTAACACTTAAGCTTTGAATAAAGGGAATTTCTATCATTCCTCCATCAAATAATAACAATTCCTATCAGGAGCTCCAAACCTGTAACCCTTAACCCCATGGGAGTGTGGGGCTTGGCTGTACTAGAGTCTGAGTCCACACATACCCTAAGCATCATATGAATAATTATATGTATATACTTCAAACATAAATATTCTTGCAGTTCATCAAATATAAATTTATTTAAGATATTAAATAAATACCTTATTGAATCAGTAACAGCTTTTTGTCATTATGTATTTTCTCAATAAAATGCCAGAAAAATAAAAACTGTTACCCTAGGCCTTTCCAAGAGAACCAAAGAAAAGTAAATCCATCTGATGGATCAATTTTAATCTAGCAATTGGCAAAAACCAAATAAATGACGATGATTCATGCTGGCTATGTTACAAAGAAATGGCATCCTCATTTACTACCGGTAAGACAAGACACAGTGGTACAAACGTTATGGAAAGCCAAATCTGATATTGGAAACCGGGATCCTTAAAAAACACATACACTCTTTTAAGCCAGGAATTCCACTTCTAGAAATGTGCACAGATAGTTCACTCAAGAATGTCCATCTCAGAGCTGTCTGCACTGGGGGAAAAAAAAAAAACAACTCAGAACAGTATAGGGATTGGTTAAATTGCATGGCCTCCACAGAGTTAACAACCTTTAGTCAATTAAAATATAGATTTTCAACTCAGGTTAAGTGTTTGAATTAGAAACAGATCCCTAATGTCCTCCAGGTGTCTATATGGCTTGCTCTCTCACTTTCTTCAGCCATTGACGACAATGTCACCATCTCACTGAGACCTTCCTTGGCTATTCTATTTAAACTGCAATCCAGTCCCCACCCCACCCTCTGTCACACACAAATGCACTTTGTGCCCTTTCTCTGTTTTTCTCCTTAGCACACATCACCATCCATCACTACACATTTTACCTGTCTGTCTTGCTTACTATCGCTGGAACAACATGGGCAGGTATACTGCATGGGTTTGGTCACTGCTGATTGTTCAGCACCCACAATACGCCTGGCATGCAAGCAGCATTCATAAATATCGGCTGAATCACTAACAGTATAACTAACTGAGAAAGCAGGTTATATCAGTAGATACTATTATGTTGGTGCAAAAGTAATTGCGGCTTTTGCCATTACTTTCAGTAGCAAAAACCACAACTGCTTTTGCACCAACCTAATACATAAACTTACTTTTGTATTACTCTAAGGGAAACGAAAATATACGCATACAAAGAAAAGAGGTCTAGAGAGAGCAAGGTTTACCATTTAATAGACCTGATTCATAGGATTACAAATGTTGTTGGTGAAGGTCTTTTCAAATGGGGAGGATTTAGGGGGCATAACTCTGTGTATTTTCTAATTTTTCTTAGCATATTGAATCCGTAATAAGTTGGGGGATGGGAGGTGTTGTTTTAATTTCAAACCGAAGAGTCACATGCACAAGAAGGCCAGGGAATCACAGTTGGACAGCACAATCCTTGAGACTGGAGCAGTGGTTCTCACAGGCATTCCTAGCAACAGTACCCCTGCAAAGAAATTGAAACCAGGTCTCCTGAAATCTGGGGGTAGAGTCTGCAGCAAACTCAAAACTTCTTAGAAGTCTCCCAATTAATCTTAAAAATTAAAGCAAACATTGCATTCTACCAAATAATTTATCTGTCTTTGTCCTGTCATAAAAATATATTATATTATTTACCAGCTAAATTATTTAACATTTTCCCAAAGCCTTTGTGTTGATTTTGCAGACAAAGAAGATGCTCTACGTATCCCCCACCCATTACAACTACTCATTTGAAAAGCACAGTGCCAGGGTGCTTAGATGTTTCAAGAATACATACTGGCTTAATCCACCACCAAGTTCTTACTGAAAATCTTAACTTTTCAGTAAAGTGTGTCCCAAATTTATGAAAGATCACTGTGAAAACGTCAATGAAATAAAGTCACCTGTTTTGTAAATATATATGCATATAAAATATATGTAAATAAAATTATCTTAGTAACTTCCTTAAAATCATGCTGTAACTCTCCCCATTCAAAGATAGTTTAAAATAATGATTAAGCAAATAAATCCTGTTTGGTACTAGTTAATTTTTTTAAGTACCAAATCCTTTTCCCTAATCTGAAACCCTAATTCAGTAACGAATGGATATGCCTCTATCTTTGACTAAAACATTGAACAGGGCTTAGTTAGGTCAATTCTACAAATACTTCTTAGTCATACACTCTGCACAAGGTAATGTATAAGTGCTTTAAGACACTTCATCCTTTATTTAATTGGAATATGAACGCTATTTTATTACAAACATGTTTTCACACTGTTAAAACGTCAAAGCTTATTTCTTGCTGTTTTGTTTTTTCACAATTAAAATGGATCTCATTGAGTCCCTCATTTCAGTTTAGAAGACTAAGGCTCCAACAAGGCAACTAAAGGGACGTAAGGTCACCAGCTAGAAGCAAAGACAGTCTCTGAGACCCCCATCTCTTTAATGTCCTGTCAGAGCTCTCTTTACCATGTCTTATATAAGATCATACATCCCATCAATGTACCTTCTAACACTATTGAAAACACATTTCTATTTCTCCATAAAATAAACCAACTGCACTTTTTTTTTTTTTAGACGGAGTCTCACTCTGTCGCCCAGGCCGGAGTGCAGTGGCACGATCTCAGCTCACTGCAAGCTCCTCCTCCCAGGTTCACGCCATTCTCCTGCCTCGGCCTCTCGAGTAGCTGCGACTACAGGTGCCCGCCACCATGCCCAGCTAATTTTTTTTGTATTTTTAGTAGAGACGGGATTTCACCGTGTTAGCCAGGATGGTCTCGATCTCCTGACCTCGTGATCCGCCCGCCTCGGCCTCCCAAAGTGCTGGGATTACAGGCGTGAGCCACTGCGCCCGGCCCCAATTGCACATTTTTAAGGGCCACAGAATTAACAAATCAGCAAGTTCCATTTATGTTTCTATACAGATCTGTATGTCTACAAGGTTAAGTGCAGACATACACTGATACATTTAGCAAGATAAATTTAGTTTGAAAACACTTTCTTTCAAGTGATAGGTTTTGTCTGATAGCTTTGAATAAGTCCAATATTTTAAAAACCTAAAGACTGTGCTTCATTTTAAATATATGGCAAGTCAAATAAATTACACCAGATACAAATTAAGCCAACTTAATATGCTTTCTGCTACACTTCTTACAGTTTGTGACAGTTATACTTATTCACATTTTGTGTTAAAAAGGGAACACCGATTCCTTAACAACATCTAATTTTCCACAGCAAGACATTAAAATAACCACCTGCTTTGACCATAGCCAATTGTTCTATTTTTAGCAGCGGACTTTTCTTTACCAAAAACAATGCATACATTTCCAAATCAGCTTGAAATGCAGGTTCCCATTCCAGGCATGATGACAGGCCCTCTAATTATATCAATCCAGGAAATTCACTCAACTTATAAAGGATAAGATTCATCATATAAAAATCATTCTGCTTCCTCCAATAGAGCACTATGTAAAGACTAATTTTAGTAACAGCAGCAAATTTATTAAAAGTTCAAGTTTCCTATTTAAATTCCTGCTTTTTCTCCTACATGAAATAATTTTTGCAGGCACTGTCACCATTCTATTTGTGACAAGATTTGTGGTATATCTAGCATTATAGGTATTCAATTAAGAACTATTATCGGGCCGGGCGCGGTGGCTCAAGCCTGTAATCCCAGCACTTTGGGAGGCCGAGACGGGCGGATCACGAGGTCAGGAGATCGAGACCAGCCTGGCTAACACGGTGAAACCCCGTCTCTACTAAAAAAATACAAAAAACTAGCCGGGCATGGTGGCGGCCGCCTGTAGTCCCAGCTACTCAGGAGGCTGAGGCAGGAGAATGGCGTAGACCCGGGAGACAGAGCTTGCAGTGAGCTGAGATCCGGCCACTGCACTCCAGTCTGGGCGATAGAGCGAGACTCTGTCTCAAAATATTATCATAGCACTAAGCAACAGGGATGGGCTTCTGAAAACAGTTAAGTGGAAGTAATGGAGACCTAGTGAGGACATAGTTCTGGAGATTGAGGGGGGAAAAAAACAAGTAGTTCAACTAGTATGTAATAGACTCCCTTTGTATGCTTAAAACACACACCATTGATTTATTAGAAGGCAAAATATGTATGACTTTCCATACTTATAAATCAAGGAGTCTTATAAGCAGAAAGATAATCCTCAAGATTGTAAACCATTCTTAGCATTATCCCTCCATCTGTAAACTAACTGCAGAGATGGGTCCACAGCTAGTGAACAGCTCACGATATAATGAGAGGGATTTCATAAGGTACCATCATGCATGCTGATACTTCTGATGCACTGGATCATTTTACTTCTTCACGCTGAAGATGCTTCTGGAAAGCAGATGCAGCCTCCTGCTCCTTTCCTAAGTCTTCAAAATTGCCTTCTCTCTCACTGTAGGAGAGGACCACGCTTCAGTTCCAGGAAACCCCAAGAGAAATGGAGAGACGACCCTCTAGGGAGCAGAATAAGAATACCACAGGCTCCTGCATGTAGACAGGAAGACAGGCAGAACGGGACTAGGAGCTGAGCAAGACCTGGTGATGCAGATGGCAACTTGGCCTTGATGTTGGAGGTGGACAAAGTGCTGACCCCCCACCCGCCAGACCAACCTGCCTGCCAGAGGTATCTGCTTGGGGGATGAGGGTGTAAATTTATAAGGTTTTGATGAGCAGACTCTACTTCCCTAAGTTGTAAGGTCATGAAAAAGACGAAGGGAGATTCTTGGTCACAGAAGAGCAAAAATACGAAGGCAGGGGCGGAGCACACGTGAATCTATGGCACGCATCCCGGAGAAGCAACCTCTTGGACCTGCAGCTGTCCTGGCAAGTGAGCGTATCCCCGACCACAGGCGCCGCGAGAAAAAATATTTCCCCGAGAGGCTACTCTACTTGTGTTATAACTTAGGGAACCCCACATTGCAGGGTAGAAAGGATTTCCTCCGGTCGTTCTTCCAGACCCTTCTCACGTTGAAGAGGGCCGCGGGCCTTGTGCCAAGCTGGACGAATAAAATACACGGTGGAGAGAGTGGGGCCGCGCAGTGAGGGGCTTCCCGCCAGCGGACCCCACCCGCAGGCCCTACAGTCACCTGAACCCAAAGGTCCTGGCGCGCCCCCGGGCCGCGCCACCACCCCTGCTGGGCCCGCGCAGCGTCTGGAGGCCGAGCCAGTGCTGCTGCAAGATCCGACCGCGTCCAGTCGCCATGGAGACGAGGAGCTCACCACAGGACCGCTCAAGGGCTGAAACGAGGAGGGCACGCACCGCCCCCACGCCCGCGCGTCGCCACACCCCCTTACGCCCATGCGCAAGTTCACAAAGTACCGCTGGCCTGGCGCGTGCGCAGACGGCACCGCGCCAGACAGCCGCTCGCAAAGCGGGCTTCTAGAAACTTCCGGGCCCCGGCTTCCTTCCCTACCCCTACATTCTGCCACCAAGGGCGCTAAGCAAGTCCTCGGCTTAACCATCTAAGAAACCGGTGCCTGCTTTGCAGCGGCCTCGTTCATCTCCACTTGCTGACTCTTTATTGTCCGGCTTTTCTGAAAACACTGTGAAATGCAAAAACGAAATCATTTGCCCACGCGGAATGGAAAAGACCACAGTCGGAGGGAGTACTTCCCACTGTGCACAGTCCACTCTAGAAGGATAAGGAAAACACGTAGTGTGTAACTGCTAATTTGGCTTTCGCAAGTCCCGCTTGAATTACGTAGGGTCTGTGGTACCAATTACCCCACCAACTCCCCGCCTTCCCGCCTCTCCAAGGACGCGCAGCGTCTGCGCAGGCGCTGGGCACCGAAGCGCTGGGGGCGCGGGAACGGCCTGCGCCGTGCTCTGGCCGCCTTGAATTGTGGGAGATGTAGTCTCTTGTGCGCGCTCCATTGCCGCATCCCAGTTAAGACTGAGGTCTTCAAACTACTATTCCCAGGAAGATGGGGGGTTTCCCAGGTGACTTTGCGAAGACATGGCGGGGACACTGTGAATGTCAGCCCAGAAGGTAATCAGAGCATGTTGATTCAAAGAAAACAGAAGGGAAGGTAGACATCAGGTTCTCCCTGGAGATTTTTCGTTTTCATTTACGCTGCTGAAGCCAACGTTTTTGCCTAAAACGCCATGTAATGTAAACGTATAGGTTTGAGTACGTGTCCGGCCAGATGTGTAGTGAACCCGAAAACTTTCCTAATTGTAGTTAGCATCGTCCCTAAGCGGAACGATTTTCTGTGAACATGATTTGTACTTTTCTGCGAGCCATACAGTATACGGAGAAGCTGCACAGGTCCTCGGCAAAGCGATTGCTTTTGCCCCACATTGTGCTTAACAAAGCGTGCTTGAAGACTGAGCCCAGTTTGAGATGGGGGCTTCAATATCAAAAGAAAACAGTGCGACCTAGATGTATTCTTGGAGTCACCCAGAAAACCATCTGGACGCAGGGACCGAGCCCCCGGAAAGCAAAGGAGGGTAGCAGCAAACAAGTGTCTGTACACAGGAGTCAAAGAGAGGGAACCGCCGTCCCAACATCACAAAAAGGTAAAAAGGAGTACTTTAATGATTGGTCTTTCAACAGACGTGACAAGAGCTGCCAATGCTCTTTTACACCAAGTTCACTACTAAAGGTGAAAAAGCAATTCACATGAATTTTTAAAAGCCGTTTAAACATAATTTAGAGCTAGAACATATAGACCTACAGTTTTCTTCACAGATTGGAACTCAGATTTGAAAGTTGATCTTGGATTTGATATAACTTTCTTTCGTTATGTTTGGGAAATTTTTCTCAAGTTGTATTGGCTCTGTTACATATAATAAAGAGTAATTGGATAGGATAAAAAGAGAGAGAGATTATTGACTCATAATCAATAGGGAAAACTTTCGTATGTTACCTGCAATAATAGAAAAACATATAAACTAGGGAGGATGGAATGTAATTTGTCAGGGAAAGTCAGAGATGTGTTCACAGATATTTTAAGATTTTTTTTAAATTTCTTCATTTCGCATGTGATTTGTAGGGAAAAAAGGACAAAGCAATTTAGACCCCATGATTATACCACACAAAGATGACTATTTTTAACATTTTGCACTTTCATACACATACCTTTTAATAATTTTTAACCCAAAAAATTGAATCATATTCTACCAATTGTTTTGTAATCTGCTGAATATGCCAAAAACCTAGTTTTTCATTCGTAATAGTTCAGCACGAAGGAACAATCCGTATGCAGAGGTGAAAGGCATAGAAGTGGCAAACAGCATGTGTGTCAGGTAATCTGGCTCAGGCAACAGTGCTGCTGCTTGCACTGCATGCCAGGCCTGCTTAGGGACCCCTTCCCTGATCTGCACCCCGTTCAGAGGTGACAGTCCTTGTTGCTGAATGAATGGATGGGAGCAACATTCCCAAATGTGGAATATGCTGTGTCCAGAATTCAAAGAAACATTGTGGTAGGAGGTATAGGGTACAATTGTCTTTTACTTGAAAGGGCATGTCCTGGCACGCCCCAGTGTAGCCCCATGAGGTCGGCTCATGTGTTGGTGAGCCTCTGCATCTTTGTTGGACCCACCTCTCACACTTGCAGCTTGTCTGACCAAGCCTTCTAACACACTTGCCACTTGTTACTTCTGGGCTCTAACACGATGGTGTAAACATAGTAGACAAATGTGATATTCTGCTGAATGTCCAGAACAGCATTATTCAAATAAAACTCATAGAAATGTCCTATATCTGTGCTGTCCATTTGGGTAGTTCCTGACCACTTGTAGCTATTTTGAGCACTTGAAATGTTGCTAAATTATGTTACTGAAGAACTGAATTGGTTTAATTTTAATTAATTTAAAATTGAACTGAAATACCCATGAGTGGCTACTGTATTAGACAGCCCAGATCCAGAAAGTTTCACTCCCTTAAGACTGTAACAACAGAGGGTGAGAGAATTAGCAAATCCTGGTCAGGATCATAAACATACACTGTTATTATCTGTTTCATGTTACTATACACTACTCCTGCTGCTGCTTCTGAAGAGAAGGCATTCTTCAAATCAATGGCCAATACCATGAGATTGTGTTAATGCACTCCCCTGTAAAGTTACAATATGTGGTATTGCATGTGTACCCCGGCTGCCACTTGGTTGAGTTTGCAGTTAACCACTGTCATTCTCCAGTGCCTATTTGTGTTTTGTAAAGGGAGACTGGTAAATTACAAGGGACTGTGATAGGGACCACCATGCCTGTATCTGAGGTCTCTAAGAATAGCACTCTTTCTGCCATTCCCCATGGATGTGATATCGTTTTTAATTTATTATCTTGGTCACTGGGGCAGTTTCAGAGGCTTCCATTTGACTTTTCCCACTCTGATAGCTCTTAACCCACTTCCAAAGGAACTAAAGTGGGAGTTATTGTTGCCAATTACTCAGTACATCCCTTTGATTTATACATTTGGAAATCAAGGAAATTATTACCAGATAAGTCCCTGGACCCAGCTGTGAGCTTCTTACATGCTGTCGTGGGGGTGGGGGGTGGTTGGGGGGTCATCATGACTCTTTGGGTCCTTGGATATCACTGTCAGCACAGACTATGTCCAAGTTGATAACTATAGGTCCTTTCGGTGAAGGACAGGGGTAGTCAGTCACATACACTTTCCTTCAGTAAATGGGTTCCAGGCCTGAAAACTGGTTCAGGTCCAGAAACGGGGGCAATGTTCAGAGCTTTGCATTAGAGCAACTGCCTTCAGCCTCAGGAGTCATCTGAGGGTTAATTTCTCATGACTGTGTAATTCAGAAGCAGCCTTGTCCGCTGCCCTTGAGTCTTCCCCTTGAGAACACTGTTCTAGTCATCAGCTCTGTTGCCCTCTGTAAGTCAGACACTCCCGACTGCCACTCCAGCCTTGCCGTTAGTTATGATGGTGGCACCCACCTTGACTTCTGTTTAACACCCCAACCTGGTCTCTGCTTCAGAATCCTTTCATCTCCATTTCTGTCAGGGCATCCTGCTCTATAAAGATGTAACTGTGGCTTCCTTGTGGTTTTGGTATACAGTGTCCTCCTGTCGCTCCTAAGAACATCGTCAGCTGGTGGGTTTTTGGGCTTTATATCTTATATCTGTGGTAGCATCCCCATTCTTGGAGGCTGTTGAGCCTTTCCTCTAGTTTGCCATGGCTGTTCTGTTACTTTTACTTAATGTGGACCATCACTGTCTCGAAGTTTCCAGGAGCAAACCTAGCCAGCTGCATATCAGTTCCCAGGGTGCTTGCCTGTTTGCTAAATTCATCACAGGAGTGTGCCCCATGCTGATCAACTCTCAGCCGCTTTTGTGTTCTGTGCCTTGACACACCGCCCTTAAGAAGCAGTGGGGTCTATGTTCCCCTGGCTGCTGCTGGGGAGGCCTCCAGCTCCTTCCAAGTATTGTTCCTTCTCATCCTTCTCATGCCCGGTTGTGTTGTAACTTGGCCAGGAGGGGAGGTGGAGAGACCTCCTGAGAGCAGCACGTATCTTGCTAGGCAGAAGCCCCCACCCACCCCTCGCCCAGTTTCCAAGATGGAGGAAGTGTCAACCAGACAATGAGCGGCTTCTTCAGGGCTAGAGGGGTCAGGAGAATCTGAGGATTCAAGATTTTTTTACAACATTGACCTCAAGGGCCCCCTACCCAGCTTTAGGTTCCCTTTCCTCCCAAATCAGGACCCTGGCCTTGGTGTAGGAGGTCTCATGTGCTTGAAATGCCAAACTCCCGGAAGCGCTTATGCCCCAGACCTGACCCCCGCATTTTCTGCCCTCTGGGTGTAATTTGAGTCTTGTTCTGCCGGGAGGAGGCTCCTGCCCTTGGCACTCACCTTCACTGATGATTAGTTACACACATCATCTCACCGTCCCTCTCCCAGATTATCCATGGCCCCAGCCACAGCCATCTGATATAAGTCCTTAAAATTGCTGATTCCCCCTAAACTCCCAGAATAACACACCAGCCAGTACATTCCCTTCCACCAGTGTTCCATCCCAGGTCCCCATTGGTGAGAGCTGCATCAGCTGCCCTACAGCTGTATGACAGGTGCTGTCAGTAGCCCCCTACCACCAGGGACAGGGTCCTCATTGCCAGCCAGTGGCCAGCGAGCCAGCTCCAAAATCCAAATTGAGAGCTGCTTACCACTCCCAGTAGCACCCGTTGTAGGTTGGCTTCCCAGGGAAGTGGGATTTACGTAAGGAGGTTTATCAGGGAGTGCTCTCAGAATACATCTTGGGGGTGAGGGAAGCAGGACTGGGGAGAGGGAGAAGCTGAAGTACATTTGCAGTTGGGGCCTCAGCTGCTGCTCTGGGGACCTCTGGAGC